TATATGTATGTATTGAGACATTATTCATATATGAAAAGGAGTATAAGAGTAAAGCGTCTAAATAATTCGAAGAATATTTATTTATTTGGGAATATTTTACGGGATAAAAAATAAATAAATTTTAGCGACTATTTTGACACTTATATAAATTCGACTAAAACTACCGCATATAAATAATTTGAGACTATTTGACCACTTACTCATATGATAAAAAGATAAATAACAAATAATTTTAATTTGTTACTAAAAATTTGTTTGGAATAGATGTAAAAAGAACAAATTATCGAACGTTAAATATATGCATACATGAGAATTGATCGGCTCAAATGAAAATGCCCCAAAATTTTAATTTAAAAATCAAATTTTGATCGGAAAATCACATTTTTTAGAAAATATTGCAAAAAGAAAATTATTTAATAAAAATTCAAACCATAGGGAACTTAAAATTTGATGGGCTCCAATAGTGATAAAAGAAGAAAGAATTTTTGTTCACAATTCATGAGCTTCCCAAACTTAAAATTCTATTTTTCATTGAAATTGCTAAAATTTGATAAAAAATATTTCAATCCAAAAAACCATAACAAAAGTAAAAATCAAAATTTTGATTGATTCACCTAAAACCAAAAAGATTGAGTATGTTGACAAGCCTTGAACTCATTTAATGCATTGTTGGGCAACTGCTGACACCAATGAAGCTCTAAGCATATAATCAGTCCCCCATATTTATTAACCCCCTTTCCCCAAAAAATATATATAATTTTAAAAAAAAAAGACCTAGGAAGCGACCAGATGTATTGAAAGCCACAAGCAGCAAAAGAATGAACAGTAAACAAAAATGGAAAGAATGAGGAGTCGCCAAGCAAATGTGACTCGAGATAGAAAAGGCAAAAGCCTAAATTCCATTACTCCCTTCCTCTTCCTTTCGCCTCTCTCCCTATCTCTCTCCCTCTCTCTCGTCCCTCGTGCCCTACTAGCTTCTCAGTTCTGCTAACCCTCTCACGCCAAAGCAGAAGTGCCCCATCACAACTCAGACCAAGATTGGACGTATGATCCCCTCTCACTTCTCCCCCTATAAATCACCATTCCAAAGCTTCCATCTTTCTCCCACCAATTCACATCCATGCGTCCTCATAATTTCCATTAACGATGAAGTCCATGAAGCCCAGCTCCTCCTCCGTCGCCGTCGAAATGGACAGCAGAATATGGCGTAATCTCCCTCCCGGCCTCGTCGACCGCATCCTCGCCCTTCTCCCCCCACCCGAATTCTTCCGTTTTCGAGCCGTCTGCAAACGCTGGTACTCTCTCCTCTTTTCCGACAGCTTTCTTGAAGCCAATCTCCGCCTCGCCCCCCGCCGCCCCTGGTTCGCCTTCTTCCTCCTCCCTTCTTCAACCAAGCCTTCATCTTCTACCAATCCTCCTCCTCCCGCACTTCTCCTCGATCCCACCACCAAACTCTGGCTCCGCCTGCCGCTCTGTTCCTTCCTTCCACCCGGATTCTCCCCCGCTGCCTCCGACTCCGGCATACTCTGCTTCATCTCCGACTCCCCTGGTCCCAAAACTATCCTTCTCTCCAATCCTCTCTCCAAACTTGTAGCCCACCTCCCCCCCACTCCCCACCCTCGCCTCTACCCTTCCGTCGGCCTCACTGCCGGGCCTTCCTCCCTCTCCCTCATCCTCGCCGGCGATGACCTTATCTCCCCTTACGCCGTCAAAAACCTCACCGCTGAATGCTTCCACGCCGACGGGGCCACCGGCTTCTACTCCCCGTGGTCAACTGTCAGTCAACTCCCTCGCCTCTGCAGCCCCGACCCAGCTCGCCTAGTCTTCTCACAAAACACATTCTACTGCATGAGCTCCGCTCCCTTCGCCATCCTCTCCTACGACGTGGCCGCTAATAACTGGTCCAAAATCCAGGCTCCCATGCGACGTTTTCTCCGTTCCCCCAGCCTCGCATTGCGCGGCGGATCGCCGCAGTCCGTACTCATAATCGCCGCCGTAGAGAAGAACAAGCTCAGCGTTCCGCGTAGCGTCAGGGTGTGGTCGCTGCAGCCCTGCTCCAAGGCTTGGACGGAAACAGAGCGCATGCCGCCGGAGATATACTCCCAGTTCAGTGAGGCTGAAGGTGGCCGAGGGTTCGAGTGCGTCAGTCATGGAGATATTCTCGCAATCACGATCAAAGGTTCTACGGAAATCATTCTTTTCGACTTCATAACCAAGGAGTGGAGATGGGCGCCGCCGTGCCCTTTTACCGGCGGCGAAAGTGGCGGCCGAGAGTTCAGAGGATTTGCATACGAGCCGAGGTTGGCGACGCCTGCTGTGGGATTGATCGACTCGTCTTCTCTCTCATTCCAATGATATAGTTATATAGTTATATATATATAGTAGTAACTACAGTAGTTATTATGGGAGATATGGAGTAAGATTGCGGTGGGCGTTAAATTTGGTTTATTCTGCTGCAGCTGGGGAGTGCTACAGTGGCAGTGGTTTCGAACTATATAGTGTTTCTCGTTGGATGCTTAGGGTTTGGAGCTGCGCGGCTTACTATTTCTGTATTCGTGGTTTAATGGAAATTGAAAATGAAAGAAAAAAAATGAAGGTTGGATGGATGGTGATGACGCGTATTTTGTTTGGTTATGGCTTTATGGGGTTTATGAGGAAATGAGGACAACAGGGTTTTATCAGGTGGTGAGATCAGAGAAAAGCAGATAAGAATCTGTCTGGCGGTCACATGCATTGATTTGGCAGGCTCTTGAGAAAAACTAGTACTTTTTTGACCTATAAATAACTAAAGTGCATATATATATATATATATATATA